TGTGTGTGTGTGTGTGTGTGTGTGTGTGTGTGTGTGTGTGTGTGTGTTTTGTTGGCAGGCTGTGGAGAGAGTGCTGTTCCCACACCTCCCCGCCTACTGGGCCAACCTCCAGGCCGTGTTGGACGACTACTCGGTTTCCAACGCCCAGGTCAAAGCGGACGGACACAAGGTCTACGGAGCCATCCTGGTCAGTACTGCAGGGACACGTCCTCTCACCCAGTGGCCTGCTGCAATGCCACTCTTCTTCTTGACTAATAGGTCCTCATTGTTTAAACTCCTGCCATTCTTCATTTCATTGAAACAAACCCTCCCCATCTCATTCATCATGTCACTCCCCATGCTGCAGTAGATGTAATGTACCTTTCAGGACCTGTTACAAAACTGAGCTATTGGATGTAACCTTAAGCCATAGAAACATTTACACCAGCACGTTGTGGAAGTACAGCACATAATAGAGTGAAGTAAGCCTGCCAAGTTGCTTCATTGTCTTAGCTCCTACATATGAGGCTGAAAATATATATGCTTTTTTAACCATGCGCCATGGTTTTAACCAGATTCTTTTTATTTTTTTTGCCTTTATTTGATATTTTTGGCTTTTCTACACTGTTAATCGGTATTGATTTTGCCACTGAAAGCTGAAAATGTAATTTTTAAATTCATAAATTAATTTAATCTCACTGTATTAAAGCTATGGTTGGTAATGTTGAGAAACTAGCAAGAGAAAGCTAGATTTGAAAACAAAATGATCCACCCTATAAACCCGGCCCAGTGTCGCCAACTATTTTCCAGTGAAAGTAGCGAGCAGCAGTAGCTCCAGAAGTCACTAAATCTAGCGAGGAAAGTTGCCAAATCGGCAACACTGACAGCCCCGCCCTTCATGCCGCCCTCCAAAGCCACACCCCCAAAATGAGCATAAAGAACGTAAACAACCAACATGACTGTTGTTGGTCCTAACAGCTGTTAAGCTAACAGCTGGTGGAAACCTCCTGTGGCAAGCAGTGAGTGATCTCACACATAGTTATTTGATCCACTGTTGATTAGTGCAGCTTTAATAACATCCCAGAATGTGAAAGGGCTGAGCAGATAATCCTGCTATAATCTAGAGATTAAAAGTTTGTGTGCTCAGGATGTCGATCTACATTTTGTCCTCATGGTGGCACCAGAGGAAAGGTCACAGAATAATGTCTCAACAGTCAACATTCACAGCGGATGTCATGGTCAAGAGCTAAATACTGTGAGAGCTGACACAGGGACTGTTGGGTACTATACAGTAGGATCTGTTGAGTGTGAGTTCTCCTGTCTGTCCTGTAGGTGGCAGTGGAGCGCCTGCTGAAGATGAAGGCCCTGTCTCTGGCTCAGCCAGCAGAGGGGGGCTCCGGCGGTCAGCCGGGCTCTGCTGTGGGTGCTGTGGGTTACAGGGTGAGCTCCCCCGGCCTCAGTCCCCCCCCAGAGCCCCTGTCGGAGGCCGCCCTTGGCATCGCCAGCCACCTTCAGGCAGGCGTGGCCGGCTGTCCCTGGGAGGAGTGGACCCCGGTCCCTCTCCCCGCCATGTACTGTGAGCTCTACTCCTTCTTCGGAGACAGCCTGGCGGTCCGGTTCAGCACGGGGCCGGGGTTCGGCAGCTACCCTCCCTGCCACCCATCGCAGCTCGCTGATGCCAGGAAGGAACCCTGTGGCCCCGCCTCCAACCCCGACACCGCCCGGAAGATGCCTCAGCTGACTGCCAACCTCAACATCAGCCCCAGGCAGGATGGGAGTCCTCGCACGGACCCGCCCCCCCCCTGCCTGGCAGCTACCGGATCAGGAAGGTAAAGTAAACCCTCTTTAAAGACTAAACCATTGGGCGGGTGTTTGCAGGACTGAATGTTGCTGACTTTTCTTTTCTCTTCAGGTCCCTGGCTCGCTCCTCTTCCTCCTCCTCCTCCTCCTCTGTGCAGCGCTCCAAGTCTTCCTCGTCACGTCCGGGCCAGCGTATTGCCGGCCCGTCTCGCGACGTTTTCCCCAAAGCTCGCTTCACCTCCCCTCAGACGGGACTTCCTGTGTTCACCTTCCTCATCGGCGGGCGGCAAATGGGTCGCCGTTGCCAAGGGCGCCGGCCCTTCCAGACCACTTTCGCCCCGACTCCACCTGTTCCTGCCGTCCCGCCACGCGCCTACGCCCACAAACTGCCCGTCATCGGCAGGGTGGGCAAACCTGTGCGCCGCTGGGCGTGTTCCCATTACTCCCTTCATCTGCCTCTCTAGAGAGGACGCTCTCAGAGATGAACTACAAAGCAGGTTTGACTGCTGCAGACTTATACACGACCAGACTCATATCTTTCAGCTTAAGCTGCCAATCATCTGTCTTTTGTGATGATATTTTCGTAGTTGAATACTGCAAGGATTCTGTTTTATTATCGAGATGGAAAAGGACATTTGGACTGTAATTCACTGAGGCAACGAAAGTATTTACAATCAATTCAAACTGATTTAAAGCCAACATAATTTGTAGTATTCTAATATTTCCAACTCTTGCGCCCCCCAGTGGTATCAAACAAGAAAATACTGGTGGGCAAAATGTGGGGGGTGGACACCGACTGCTATAGTCAGATTAAAAAGTACCGAAGGTGTAGACCACAACAATTAAAACGCAGTACATGCAGATTTGACATATTATGAGTACTTTTTTTGTTGTTTTTTGGCAACTCTTGCACGACACAACATTGACAATTGTTGTCATTATATGGTTATTTTTTTACATTTGTCAGATGAATCATTAAAATCAGGAAAAAAAATAATAAATTACATTACAACAATAGTAAAACATTTAGTGTTGTCTGAGAATGTTTTTGGCATTTTTGCTGTATGTTTGAGACATGATAAATTTATCAAAAAAACTGTTAATTATTTTTCTTTATCGTTCAGTCAGCTAATCATTTGAGCACTATGCTCATCAGAGTAAAATGAGATTAAGGGCTTCTCATCAACCGTCCTACTATTTTCAGTGAATGCAGTCTAAACCTTCTGCGGCACTATTTCTGTGACTGAATCCCTGCTGAGGAGCAATGACAGTATTTAGGTCTGCTGCGTGTTTGGAGGTTTGACATCTTGTACATAGCTGTTATTGCTGAATAAAACATTTTCTCTAGGAGTTTCTCACCACCTGTCCTACATACAGTACCTCTACCTTTCTGTTGTTGCTTTGTTTCTCTAGTCAGTTTGTGTCTATTTATATATATATAGTTATTTTTTTTTTAAAGTTATTTTTCGTCTGTTTGTTTTGCCCCTCTTTGTAGTCATTTTGAGTCTCTTTGTAGTTCTGTGTCTCTTTGTGGTCGTTTTGAGTCTCTTTGTAGTTCTGCGTCTCTTTGTGGTCGTTTTGAGTCTCTTTGTAGTTCTGCGTCTC